TTAAAATATACTCAGCCCAGGGCCAAACCCTGCTCCGTTCTGTAGAACGATTTGCAATTTGGGAAGGCATTAAATTTCCCTACCCTTTAAATCTATCCTGTTTTCCACTCCCCACACTCAAAAACCTTGTCTAAACCACAAATCGTGTATCATTAAGACATCTGAAAAGCCAGCCATACACGATAGCAAAGATTTCAACCAACGCTAGAATGGGTTTAGCACAATACACCAAGCAACCACACAGGGGCACTCCCACAGCCAAACGGAGAAAAGAGAATTTCCTGAAATCTTGCAGTTTCTGTTGCTCGTCTGTAGTTTGTGCTGAACTACCTGGCATTCATCAACAAAGTTTTCTGTTACACTTGTAACCACAGTGGGCTGGTAAAGGTTGATCCTGGGGTGAAACCTAGCAAAGCAACACCCACAGAAATAAACCTAGCAAAGCAATTCATTGTAATCATGCCTATGCTTGGATAGAATTGAATTATTTTAGCCCTGCAACTACACGAAGTGAGTTGGGGGGCAGCATAGTCCAGTGATTAGGAACCTGGACTGGGAATCTGGAGACCTGGCTGCCATGGAAGTCAGTGAATTTACACCAGGGATGAACCTTGCCCTAGATTTTGAATGTTGATTTTATTCAAATTATAGGCACAGGGACCAAATAATCCTATTAAAATCAATGAGGCTGCAGTGGGAAGAATTTGGTCTATGTACATATATACTTGGGGCTGATTCAGCCTTGGCAGAAGCAGACACAGCTGACAACAGCTTCAATGGGGGCTATTCTGTTATTCAGGCTTCACTTATGACTAATTAGTTGATTGGTTACTATTTGCATTACACGGGGGGGTGGGGGAAGCCCTACAAAAGTGGTCCTGTGCAGCACAGGGGAGGAGCGCTGCATATACAAGCCGAAGGTGAGCAGGACAGGATGTGCAGGGAAACCATTCCTACAACAACAAGAGCACTGCGCCTGCACCCACCACCTTGCTGCTACTCAAGAGCAGGAGGCTGAAGAGGTGGGAGAAATAGTATGAAGACAAATAGGGTCACGCCCCTGTTCTCATCAGACAATCCCGTTCTTCCTCCTCAGCCCACTCCATCGTTACCCTGTACTCCTACATCCCTAGGCACTTGTATGGCCTTCGCCACTGTAGTAACTGAGTGCCTGTCTCTCATGCATTAGACACAGAGGGAACGGAGGCTCATGACTGCTCAGTGCAGAAGACCATACCGAACACTTAGCTTTCCATTCACTCACAAGTACCCTACACACACACACACACACACACACACGGGCAATAGCCCCACAGACTTATCCAAGGACCTGGCAGATCAAGCACTAGGTAAATGGTGTCCTGTGACTGAATAGTAACAGGTTTCAGAGTAGCAGCCGTGTTAGTCTGTATTCGCAAAAAGAAAAGGAGTACTTGTGGCACCTTAGAGACTAAGGAATTTATCTGACCAGAAGCTTTCGTGAGCTACCCCTCATGAAAGCTTATGCTCAGATAAATTCCTTAGTCTCTAAGGTGCCACAAGTGCTCCTTTTCTTTTTGTGAATAACAACAACAGTAAAGCTATTAATTCAGATCAAAGGCCTAAGTGATCAGTTACATCGTCACACAGCTTAGCCTTAAAAACACTCTGGGTCCAATTCTGAAAAGCTCCCAAGTGATTTAGGAGCCTAATTCCCATTGACTTTCATGTAGGTGCTTTAGAAAATTTTACTCAATAAGCCCGATTTTGTTTGCATTTGCACTGTTTTGTTTTACTCCATGTAACTCCACTAGACTTCGGCACTCCTGATTTACATCAGCATAGGACTTGTCTATACACAAAAGCTGCTTCAGTATGCATTTAAACGGATGGTGCGCTCACACTGTTGCAAGCCACAGGGCTGAGATCAGAATCACGCCTGAGAAGTCCAGGGAAATGCTTTGCAAGGCCCAGGGTTTATATGGTGCCTTAATCACCTCTTACAACAATTTTATCTCCACGCGGCTACGCCTGACCTACACACGTCTGAGTAAGAGGAAAATCAGACCCACAATAACCAGTAACCCACCACCACCCTTGCTTCACCCACCAAATACTACGCTAATTTGCAATATTTACAGGGGAAGAGGTGGGAAATCTCAAGGTGCCCAGGCCAGCCACAGCCTTGCACTCCCCCCACTCACTGGCAGAGTGTGAGAAGGTCACCTCCCCCAGCTCTAAGCAAACATTCCCAATGTGTGTTACAGGTGAGGACCTCTGGCTAAGCTGTTGAACAGATTGGGAAGGAAGTCACTTGCAGGCCACCCAGTTTGAATGCATTCTAAACTTTCGGGCAGCAAGCAACAGCTCCTAATCTGCTCTCCAGAAGCAAGCGACAGGGGTTAGAGAACCTGGCGCAGGGGCATTGTTGGAATAATACTGTTCGGCTCCAATTGCTTCATAAATCTTTCCAAATTGCTTTTCTTGGGCAATAAGAGGATAATGAGACAGAGTTATTATTGGAGCTACTGAAGCTCTCCAAGGACGTAATTCCTGTTACAAAACAGACTGCAGGGGGGAAAAAAACCCCCAGTGTAAACAGTTTAGAGAGGTTGAATGGAAAAAAAGTTAAAAGCAGAATCATTATCTGTCTATAAAGGCTTTATACGGCCTCCTATCAGTGTAGTATCTGAGCGCCTTCCATGTAAAAGTCAATAGCAACAGTGAAGTCCCACGAGGATTTCAAGGCGCCTCTCGCTTTTTAAGAGTATATGCTCTCCCTGGGGTAGGGGCTTTGTTTTCGGATTTCGGGGTGGATAAGCGTATAGGACTAGAAGGAGAAGTCAGTGTGGTGAAGGTCATGCTTATGAAGGGAAAGGGATATTAGGGACCACCTGCAAATACATCAGACTAAACATTCAGTGCCAGTTCCTCAATTTATATAAAATCAGCATAATTCCACCGAAGTCAAAGGAACCGTACTGATTTACGCCCACTGACAGCGGTGGATTTAGAGTTGGTGGGGCCCTGTGCACAGCTTCATTTCTGCCCTCCCTCGGGACCCAGCCAAGAAAAAAATCATCTCCCCCCCATTTTTCATTCTTTTTTTCCTTCATCCTCCTCCTATATTATAAGTAATTGGAAGTAAACGAAAATAAAGTGAGGTACCTTGATCGGGGAAGGGCATTGGGGTACAGGAGGGGGTGAGGGCTCTGGGCTGGGGCAGGAGGTTGGAGAGGGGCGGTGCTTACCTTGGGCAGCGCAGCTCCCAAAATGACTGGCACACACACCCCTCCAGCAGCGGCTCCTATGCTGGGTGGGGATCAGAGGGTCTCTGCGTGCCGCTGCCCGCAGGCGCCACCCCCGCACCTCCCATTGGCTGCAGATCCCAGCCAATGGGAGCTGCGGAGTCGGCACTTGGGGCTGGGGCAGCGCGCGGAGTCACACCTCCCCCCCAGGGGCTGCAGGGACATGCCAGTCACTTCTGGGAGTGAAGCAACACAGGGGGAGGGAGGGAGGCAGAGCAGGCAGAGAGCCGCCTTAGCCCTGCTGCTGGCACGTGTCTGTGTGCCCCTTGTGGGGAGGGGGGCAGCGGGTCTCCGTGCGCTGCCTGGGGCGGGGGCAACATGCAGAGCTGCCTCCCCCTCTGCGCGCAGAGACGAGCCAGCAGCCGGTCGCTTCTGGGAGCAGCGTGGGACCACCGGCCATGGCATGCAAGCAGCCTGTCTGCGTCTGCTGCACCGCCGGCTGGGACTCGGCCGGGACTCGGGGGCAGGCTGTCAGATATTTGTCCTGCATTGTTGGGGGGCCCTGTGCCACCGCACGGTTTGTTTCATGGTAAATCCGCTCCTGCCAACTGAGGATCTAGACCTTAGGGCAAATTTTGTTCTCAAAGAAGCGCTTCCCATGGAAGTCAACAGAAGCCAAAGCAGAATTTTAGTCCATCATCTATGATGGTTTTACATAAATATTCCTGTCAAGTTTGCTACCTTACCAGAGCTGCATGGGCCAAATTCAACACTGGGCTAACTCCAGTGAAGTTAAGAAAATTACAGCGGAGAGGAATTTGATCCTGTAAATTTAACTAAAGATTTGCTCCCCACAATACTCAACTCCTCCCTGTATTTGGGGTCAAATCATGTAGTGGCCAAACACTAATCGTGAGCAAACACCAAACTGACGAGGGAGAGAAGTGGTCGCATATTTGCGTCTTAAACAACAGAGGATGATGCAAGAGGACCGAATGAGGGTTTGCAAGTACACAAAGGGATACAGTATCCCAGGAGAAGAGCAAGGGCTGCTTCCCATTGAGAAAGGAAAGACATACAGCTCTTTTCCCCGTTCTGACCACTACTGGCTGCCTTAAGTCTCTATCTCCAGGTATTCCTGCAAGCATGAAAAATGGAGACTGTCAGAGTTTAGGGGCTATAACTTGATGTAAGAGTCCCCACCATCCCCACAGCACAGGTATGTGACAGTGTGCAAACCCCAGCTCTGCCACCAACTGCCTAACTTGAGCACCTCAAAGCTCAGACCCTCTCCTACAACGACAAAATATATATGCCACGAGCTCTTTAATGACCACAGTGAATCAGGATCTTGGCTTTATTTCTGACCCAAAAGATTCTATCATGTTAACACGGCCCACAGAAAAATAGCACTTGTTATTAAACACCGATAAAAGGCCTAAATATCTAATACCCAAACTACTATAAATAAGTATTATAAACAATGCAAATTACTTTCCGCCATACAACCGACACCAGCTTCTAAGCCCAAAACTGACACCCAGGGCTGCCCTCCCTGCCTCCCCCCTCCCACAAGCAGAGGGAGAGATGCCAGAGACTACACGAAGTCCACTAGGAACTTGATTAAAACAAGGAGGAGTCCGGTGGCACCTTAAAGACTAACAGATTTATTTGGGCATCAGCTTTCGTGGCTAAAAACCCCCCACTTCTTCAGATACAGGTTTTTTTTACCCACGAAAGCTCAGGCCCAAATAAATCTGTTCGCCTTTACGGTGCCACCGGACCCCTCGTTTTGCGGCTACAGACTAAGATGGCTACCCCGCTGACAGTTGCTATTGCTTGGAAGTGGAAGGCTCTCCGATACCAAGGTGATGGGCACCAACATAAAGCCTTATGATTGAGATAGAAGAGAGATACTTTGCAAGTCCCCGTGGACACAGCATGCCAGGAGCAGCCGGGGCATGGCAGTTTCCCTTGGCACTGAGAACATATCAAGTGCTCAGGAGCGGTGGGAGCCCAGAAAGGTAGCCGAGGGCGTTCACTGCTGCCCCGGGCTCCAATCAGACCCGGGAGGCTTGGCTGGCTGGCTGGCTTATAAATGCAAAGCAGGGAGCGTTGCAAAGTGAAAGTGCCTGTGGGCTTCTCCCTGGTGGCCTTGCGGGGAGGGAGATGAGCTCCCGGGCACCCCTTCCAGGGAGGCCGGAGGGACAGGGCAGCACAGAGTCCTCAGAGGGCAAGAGCCTCCCCCAGGGCTCGCTGCAGACCATGCCCCTCTCCTCCAAGCCGCTCACCTCCTTCCTCATCCAGGACATTCTGCGGGACGGTGCCGACCGCGGAGCTGCGGGGCAAGGGAGGAAGAGCCGGGGATGCTGCAGGGCCTCTCGCCCGGAGCCGGCGCCGGACGGTGCAAGCTCCGCTCCCCGGCCGCCGGCGGGGACACCCCTCCCTGCAGGGGTCCCCCCGCCGCCCCAGGAGCAGGCAGGAGCGCCAGGCGCAGGTAAGCGGTGCCCACGCGCGCGGCTGTCAACATCCCGGGTCCCCGTCCCGGCCAGCAGAGACCCTGCAGCCCGAACCGGGGGCAGCTTCTCCGCCTTGGAGCTTGACCTCCGAGCGCTCGGTTCTCGGGGTGCCGCGGGGGCACCTCCCACTCAGGAGACAGCGGCGCGCACGTGGGGTCTCTGCCGGGGGAAAGCAATAGAAATAGCCCCTGTCTGCACAGACTATTCTCCCCCCCCCCCCCCCGCGCCCAAAAAGAGCTCGGCTCCGAGTTAGGCACCTCAACCGGTGTGGGTGCTGGGCCACTGCCCATTCGCCCCACCATTTTGGGGAGAAAAAAATATATATATATATGGCCCCGCCTGAGTCCACGGGAGAGCCCAGGAAGACTGAAACAAGAGCCCCCCACTCAGTGCCGCAGCTGCGTGTTTAAAGAGCTCCTGGACGCTCCCTTTATTTGTATTCCGGCCTGGGGAGGCTGCTGCATTCACCACCACTGAATACTTTAATCTAACACCAGGTCTTAAAATCCCATTCCTGGAGTAGAAGCTCTTTGGGACAGGGGCTGGCTGGCCGTTCTGTGTCTGTCCCGCACAAGGGGGTCCTGGCGCACGACTGGGGCTCCACCTAACAATAAAATATTGGCTGGGTTCACGGTGATGGGCATCTTATTGGTCATGCACCGGCCGAGGAGTCATTTTTAAGCTGGTGCGTTTCTGGACCTGTGTATTTCGAGGTTGGGGCAGCAAAACAGGAAAGGCTGCAAATCACTGCCGCAGCGAAGGTAATGCTTCCTTTAAAGGATGGTGCCATTTCAGTATCAACAAGTTTCTGGCACATGACTGAGGGAGGGGGGTAAAGAAAGAAGCTGCTACGATTTTTTTTTTTTTTTAATTGTTGGTGTTGGGGAAGCAGTGGAAACTACTGCACTCTCCAGGGACTGCCACAGTCTCTCTCCATTGTGTGTTTGATATTCAAGAAGGGGGATCAAACGCATGTAAGCTCTTTGGGGGAAGGGACTGATTTATTTTACATCTCTACAGGACCTAGCACAATCCAGATATTCAGGAACTACTATCATAATAATAAAAGACACTTTAATCAATCACTTTCTTGTGACAAGGGATCTTTCCAGGTGAAATTGGGCCTGACGTCACAAAACCGAAGATCAAGAGAAAGGTTTCAATGAACCTTTCTTTAAGAAGGGGGAAAAATTCCCTTGGAAATGTACTTAAAAAAAAAAAATCCCTTACATTGAGCCAGATCCTCAGCTTCTGTAAATTTTCACAACTCCACTGACTTCAGCAGAGCTAAACCAATTTGCACCAGATGAGGCATAACCTATTGTTTCCATCCCAAACATTTCACCATGAGAAACTGGCCTATTGCCATCGTCCATGCTGAATGAAATAAATTAAAAAAAAAAAGTAACAAACTGCGTAAATAGTGACAAGTTCATTTGTTTTTAAGATTCGTTCGGTTTTAATAATCATAGGTGTCATTTAGCACCACAGTGGAGGGCATTGCTATTCTTATTTTTAACCTGAGGCTGTCTCTTTAAGAAATCTTTCAAACTGTGGGTTTTAGGTATGGAGGGCTTGATCCTGAAAAGTGCAGAGTACTCCCAGCTCCCATGGTCTTCGATCAGAGCTGTGGGCACTCAGCACCTGTCTGGATAGGGGCTGAAGTGACAGAATGATTCTACTGGAAATAAGATTAAGGTGACGTGTCTGGTTGCTACACTGCTGAGCTGTGATGTGCATCAACGATGCCTTAATTCCTTTGCTCTGCTCTCCTGTCACATTAAAACCAGCATGTACCAGCGTGTGTCTTTCACGTGGCAGGTATCCTCCTTATCTCTCTAAACTTGCTCAGCAATGCCATAGCAAAAAGACACTTCTGATCTCGTTACCCTGAATATATCAGAAGTTCAGCCTTCTAGCAGTAAAACTCCCACCTGAATGGTAACTTGCGTAAGGATCCAGATCCTATTCCCATTGACGTCAACCGGAAGCTTTGCCATTCACAGGGATGAGGTAGGACTGAGTCAAGAGCCCAAATTCTCAAACTTGGGTGCCTTAAGTTAGATGCTAAGGGACTGATCCTGCTGCCAATTAAAGCAGTGGAAAGTAGAAGTACCTCTATGGAACTAAGTGGAATGTGTGTGGGAAGAGAACTGGGCCCCTAATTTTATCCTGACCCACCTGAATAAGGGCGCTTTTTTTTTTTTTAAAAAAAAAGGCTTCTATCTATCTATCATGGCCTGGTTTCAATGACAGTAACAGGTGCTCAGCACCTCTGAAAATCAGACCCACTGTTATGGGTGCCTGGACATACAACTGGGCATCCATCTTTGCAAATGTTGGCCGATGACGACAAATTACTAGGGCTGCCATTCCCAAGCATTCAAAACTCAGGAGATATGCCTTGAAAAAACAAAACAAAACAAACCCTACATCATGAGGATGGTGGGGGTCTTGTTTTGTTTTTTAATTTGCTATATAGTTGCCATCTGAGCCTTTGGGGAGCACTGACTTCACATTTCCAAACTTTTCTCTGCAACATGGGAGTAGAAACTGACCTTTTTAAAGTGAAAGCTGAGATTCTCACATAAATCACAGGACTCCAGGATCTACGACTTTAAGAAAAACACCAACTATTGCAAGACTCACAAAATCCCAAAAGTTGGCATCACTGTTTTATTTGTATTACAATCATGCCTAGGAGCCCCAGTCAGGGCCCCATAATGGTAACACCCATTGTGAGTACAGAAGAAAAAGGCATTTTAACAGAGGGCCATATTTTTAAGAGTCTTTAGGTGCCTAACTCCAACTTAAAGCAATGGGAGTGAGGTGGCTAAATACCTTTAAAAATCTGGCTCAGAGTGAACACTGTATCAGAATTCAGGGGCAGGCGGAGAATTATATACCAAAGGTTTCTGAATTTTTAAGCTCGTGTGAGCATGTAAAAATGTCTCCAGGATGACAATAGAATTGTGTGCTCTCTGCAGGGAAAACGCCTGAGAACAAGCTGTTTTGATTCCTTTCTGGTGTCTAACTCCCCTCTTCCTTCCCCCAGAGGCATATACAGAGACCGACCTGTTGGACTGTGAAAACCCTCTGAAATCCTCACTGAGCAACCAAAGGACCCCGAAGCAGCAAAAGCGCTCACGGGCAGCCTTCTCCCACACTCAGGTCATCGAGTTAGAAAGGAAGTTCAGCCATCAGAAATATCTGTCCGCCCCGGAGCGAGCCCACCTGGCGAAGAACTTGAAGCTCACCGAAACCCAAGTGAAAATCTGGTTCCAGAACAGAAGGTACAAGACCAAAAGGAAGCAGCTAGCCTCAGAACTCAGTGGACTCGATAAGAACTCTGTTTTCCCAGTCCTTAAAGAGGATGATGATGTCTCCAGGGCCACTCTGATTTCTGTGTGTAACGGCTACCAATACTATCCCTACCTGTGCTGCTTGAATGGCTGGAGTCCCTCTTTGTGATAACTACAGCTAAAGACTTCAATTTTTCCAAAGAGAAAAGCTCTTTTTATTTTTACTGTTTTGCTTTTTCTAATAAGGGGGAGAAAGCACTTCTGACCAGATTTTCAGTGATGCTGAACACCCTGCATGCCCTTTTCCCTTTCAGGGAACTTGCAAGGTTCTCGACACTGCTACAAGTCTAGGATAACATTTTCCAAGGCACCTAATAATAAATGCCATGCTTTTGTATAGTGCTTTCCATGGGTAGATCTCACAGTGCTTTAGAAAGGATTACAATCTTCATTCTGCAGATGGGGAAAACTGAGGTACAGAGCAATGAAGTGATTTATCCAAGGCCACCCAGGGGCAGAGTCAGGAATAGAACCCAGGCCCCTGAGTTACAGTCCACTAAACTATAGTGTCTGCCCTTTTCCCTCATTGAAAGTCAATGGGACTTCGGCTCCCACGTGTTTAAGTCTCTTTTCAAAGTGGGACTTATGTGCTTTGGAAAACTTCAGCCCTCCCCACGAGCAGCGTGTAAAAACTAAGTCATGATGATGGTTTTGCACAGCAATTGTCTCGGCATGTTCATCTAGGCCATTAATTCTGTGACACTGCATAGTATATTTAATATTTAAATACCTGGTCTTCTCAAAACAGAACAAAAGGTGGGATGCTGAATGGGAAAAAAATGGAGTCTGCATTTTTCCCCCATTAAATGGGAACTAAGAGCCATGTGGTCCTAAGGTGAAGGCCGTGAGATGTATTAGAACTATGTCAGCCAACGTGACAAACCCCATTTAAATTACTGTCATGAACTGGTCAGTGCATATGTACACCACTGCTCTTTACTGGCTAGAATTAGAACTGCATAACTATGTGTCATAGCACCTATACTGCAAGTTAAAGTAGCTCAAGCGGTAAAGACCTTTGGTTTGAAGTAGAAAGTTTGCCGTTCTCTCTCTGCTGTGTCACAAAGTGATGTGTAGCCACGATGCGCTGCATAGTAACAAACATGAAATACTAGGCGACAACAGAGGTGTTCCAATATGCAATAAATATTGTGGGCAGGATCCTCGGCTGGTATCAATCAATTCTCAGATTCTGAAGGAACTGTGCCAATTTACATCTGCTCAGGTTCTACAGCCTACACACCAATGTATACCACCAGTAACTTGGCAGCATGTACCCAACCAGACGACAGCACAAAATTCAGTATCACAATGACAGATCTGTTTTGCATATCACCACGCTGATGCTGTTTGAACATTAACACATAGAATTACTGTATTAAATAGCTTAAGTTTTCAGCCTTCCTAACAGTTTAAAGAGAAGCAATTCTGTTTGTAAAATTAGATGAGACAATGCAGCCTAGTGCTTCAGAAGAGGCTCACTATTACTGTAAAGTTTTCTTGTGATCACAGAGTTAAATGATCTTATTGTTATTATTCACACTCACCATTTGAGCAGACTAACAGAGGTGATTCCTGCTTCCGTTTGATACATACCATACTAGCTTGATGCTGTATGATGCAGAGCACCTTTTGATCCTATCTTCTTTTGTGGGGAGTGAGAAAGCTCAGCACTTTGCAGTATACAAGGGAAACATGGGATAAAGCTTTTATGCATGGTTGTTAAGTGAATAGTAATATTTTGACCTCTGTTAGTCTGTTCAAAGTAGCAGTGATGGCTTTTAGGAGCAAAGGAAATGCCTGCCCATACGTAAAGTTTGAGGAAACATCTATTGTGGAGGAAATAAAGGTTTTAAAATAGAAATGAAATGAAAATGGGGGGGGGGGGGAAATTATGTTAGATCATTTATAATTTCAGTGGACCAAATTCTCAGGTAGTACAAATCAGATTAGTACAAATTAGAACTATGGCAATTTATGCCCTCTGAGAATTTATGCCCTCCCAATTTATGCCGTGGCTTTTTTTTAAAATCTATCAAGCTCTTTATAATGGTGCCCATCTTTGTAGTATTAACCCCCCCACTACCCCAAACCACAAAAAGCTAAAGGCCTAATTTCCCTCCCTTCTCCTCGAGACAGTTGGGGCTGCATATTGTTGGAGTGATTGCTTCCAGAATGGGAAGTGTAATAATTTCTTTTCAGAGACAAGGAGTGTGGGGAAATGAAGTAATATATTTGAGACGACCAGCTTCTATTGGGGAAAGAGACAAGCTTTCAAGAGGACACTGAGCTCGTCTTCAGGTCTGGAGAATTTTTAGAAATCTTATTTTTCATGAAAATATATATTTGAAAATTGATCTTGTGTCTCCCTCCTCCCGCAACACAATAGATCTGCAAACCACACACTCACAAGTATCCTTACTCATGCCAGGAGACCTGCGGAAGTCCAGAAGACTCCTATCGTGAGCCAGGATTACTTATGGGAGTAAGAGTTTACAGGATCAAACCCATTAAGGTGAACAATTCACCAATGCCACCAATTTATGGTCATTGCCACTGTGTGAATTATTTGAAATACATGAAAGGATAACAGCCTGTTTTCTAACTAGTCGGAATGTAACTTCTAGTACCTCTAGATAACATTTTTCTGTCAGCTCGTTCTTTATTTAGAACCTATTCATTCTGAAAGGATTCAGTCCTTTCTCTCAGTCAGCATTAAGAGTAGAAGGTCATCTCTGGGCTGTTACAATATGTTTCATATTCAAGCACGCTGCTTATCCACTTTCCAAAAGAAGTGATCATATAGTACTTAGAACAAAAGATTCCTTAGGGTCCTATCTTGGGGCCCTGACTCACTTGAGGAGCCCCACTAACATCGATGGGATAGGATTACTCAAAAGGAGTAATAGCTGCAGGAGCAAGCACCAAATGCAGAAATCCACAGGCACATTTGGCCCCAACTGGGCATACCTTGCACCTTGTTCCATCATTTACACCAGTGCAAAATGGGTGCAAAACACTTACCATACTGATTTGGTAGCTTTACATGCCTATTTTGCACTGGTGTAAAGCTCCTCATTCTCTGTTGCCCTGTACCTCGTGTGGTCATTTAAATCAGTGCAAAGTGGGTGTAAAACGTTGCCTAATCAGAATGATACGGTCCGATTCTTAACTCCACGGATCTCCATGAACTTACTTCTGATTCACACCAGTGTAAATGTAGTAATGTCACCTACCTGGTCTGGCTTCAAGCTCTCTGCTGCCTCAGTTTCCCGTCACTTAGTTTCAATTTCCCGACCTCCTCAGGAAGGGCTCACTGCCACACTCAAGTCTCTTCCCTGCGCACAAAATATGAGCAAAATATCAACCACAAAAGCAGTTCCTCTGTCCATCCTGCTCTAGAACGCCCACAGGCTTTCCCCGTTGCCACGGTGGTGACAGGAGGACTCACCCTTCCCTCCCGTCCCCCTGCTTCAGGGCCCACAGCAGAGTTTTCTCAGTCTTTTCATGGGGATCACCTTCCCCCTTCCCAGCTGGGTCCGATAACTGAGCAGGGCTGGCCAGCCCCAGACACCCTGGCCCTTAAAAGGGATAAAGTAGAAGAATATGCACCATAGAGTGTGGCTCACCCATTTTGCACAGGTGTAAATGATAGGACAGTGAAGAATTGGGCCCCATCTGCAGGGCAACAATGGATTTGATCCATTGTTCTTTAGTAGTCATGAAACTGAACATCCACTTGGCTATTTCACCTGTGTCCCAGCTGTTCTGCTCTCAGTTTGTAACCTAGATCAAAACTCTGTGAGCTATTCTCACTCTGAACTGCCACCCTTTGTATTTTTATGAAAATCAGCCCAGTGCAAACGGTTGTTATTTTTGTATATATGTTTTGATACTGTTTTTCCAATGTGTGTATTGTACTTTGGAATAAAAGGTCTGCATTAGAAGTGGGCCTCTGTGGGGTTTGTGGTTTGGGGGTTCGTTTTTTTAAATCTCCTTTATGTGCGTTTCGAGTTCACGTATTTGGGGCCAAAATCTGGCTAACACACCGGACTAAGGCATAGTGTGCAAACTCAGGATCCCTTACTCCCTTCCCTAGTGCACTCTTACCAGGAATAGCAATGGGGCTCGCTCACATGCCATGAATGCAAGGGAGGAAGACAAGCAGCCAGCATGACTCAACACTCTGAAACAGGAGTGGATCTGGTGGGCAAAGGGTCATGGCTGGGGGCCAGCCCGGATGCCTAACCAATGGCGCTTACAGGCTGCACAGATAGGGCCTGACGGGAGTCTATCCTCAGAGCTCAATGGGATTTGGATCTGGCTCCAAGGGAGCTCATGCTGCATCCTTAAGATGCCACAGATTCACAGCTCCACCTAAGCATCCCACATTCTGCCTTTCCTAGGTAGAATACCTTCCCTAGCAAGGTGCCTCTGTGTCCCATTTCCAGAAACGTGACTCTGGCTCTCAAAGCCAAAATTTAGCCCTTATTCCTCCAGGACCTTACTCCTATGAGTAGTACTTTCAGATGTGAGAAGTCCCACTGAAGTCGACGGGGCTGCTACCACGACTACAGATTACCCACATGTGTCACTATTGCAGGATCAGGCCTAATGTGAGCGGCACACAATCAATGGTCAGGTGCAGCAAATTTGCAGGTATCAGATCATCACCCGTCACTGTTAAGAGCAGGCTAACACATAATGCTACCAACGCTGGGTCCGGTCCAGCCAGGAGTTGCACATCCTGACACGTGCTGAACCACCTCCATTCTCATTTACTTTAAAGGAGGCCTCAGGAGCCACCACACCTTGCAGGAAGGAGAACAATTCTCCCGCCGCCATTTATTTACGACTCCAAACTTACATCATTCACCTGATTAGCAGCAAATGGATGGCTCTCTAGTGACCAGCAGTTTATACAGTAAGGCGCTTATTCTAGCTAAAACGTATGATGGTTTCACATTTTTCCATACTTTGAGTATATGCAGAGGCCTCTAAAGGTTTTCAATTTGGATTAACCCTGTAAACTCAACCCAACCCACTCTGCTTTCCAGATAGGAGACAATGCAGCTCTTTATTTTAACACTCGTAGGCTCCCATTCGACAAAAACTTATGCATGCGTTCACCTTTGTGCAGGAGAGTAGTTGCATGAACCCAATGGGCCTACTCAAAACGTTTAAAGTTTAAGCATGTGCATGTTTGAAGGTTTGGGGCCTTTGGATGAAATTCACCCGTGTCGTGGGCCAGAGCTATGGCTACTCACCACTGATGTCCCACATAAGCCTTACTTTGAAGCCTATGTGCTGGCTCTCTGTACAGGGGTGAATTTCACCCTTGAAGCTCAGAAATAAGTTCTGTGCTTTTCAGATTTTTTAAATCAGGTATTTTGCATGCTCCAATCTGCAGTACTTTCATCCAAACAGGAAAAAAAAAAAAAAAATAGCGAAAGCACACAGGAACCTCTGTCATAAATTCCACAACTAGGCAGTAAATGTTTCTTTCAGATGAGTCGCTTTCTCCATCCATCTTCCACTAAGGAGACTTATTCCAAACAGACAAGAAAGCAAAACGGGCCACCTTCATCCATTAAAAAGTCAGTGGAGTAATTGGACACCCAAAGTGAATTTGGGACAATGTGTTTTGGCATTTGGATTTTTTTTTTTCTAAATCTGTTCACACCACACGGTAGCGTTTCTCCATGGCCCTGCACTTCCCATCCTCATTTACACCAGTGCCAAGTGCTACCGTTCTGATTTCGTAGTGCAAGTGTAAAGAACAGCAAAAGATGCCATACAGCACAGAATCAGACTTATGGGATTTGGCTCTGAGTGGATGTCAATTTTACACTAGTGTAACAGTTGATTTCTCTGGAACATAGTCCAGATTTACACTAGCGTAAGCAACAGCAGAAACGTGTCCGTGTTTGTGCGGACAAAGCTGAACCGAGCTGTGAATCTTCCCTCAAAATGTTATTTTTTTATTTATTATTTCTTAATGTTTATTTGTTAACTTAGCGGATTTAAATTTCTGTAAGAAAAAACAGCCATAAAGCCGGGAGCCTAGCACATGCACCTGCTCCTTATAAACCATACATGGCCCTGCTATGTTGCCTGTGGGGTACTTTTTCAAAGCAGTGATGTTAACTGGTTGTGAAAGGCGCACAAAGTATAGCCTTAGAGACTGAAGTCCTGTATCCATGCAACAGGTACAACGGGAGCAAATTCTGCTCTCAGTTGCACTGGGGTAAATTGAGAGACTAAATTCCTTGACTTCAATGGATTTATGGGGGTGCAACTGAGGGTATAATTTGGCCTTATAGGGCCCCCCCAAATAAAAAATAATAATCTTTAAATTACTTTATGATCAGGTGTTATGCACCAAGCTGAAGTATCTTCTTCAAGAGAGAAGAAAACATAAGGGAACCTTTTGAAACCAACAGTTTCACGTGGTACAAATTTAGCCCTCATGCTTCTGCATATAGCGAGGGGGCGGGGGTGAGAGAATGGTCTAGAATCCAAGCCCACGTCTCAGCTTTGAGACGTCCCTCCATGGCTACTTGTGGTGGTGGTTTTTCTTACCAGATAAAAGGAACTGGACTGAAATCACCTCGTTTTCACCTAAGCTAACAAACCAGCCATCAAGATGGCAGAATTTGATCAAGAGGGACCCCCCTCTTGGGGTGAGAGGGCCCTTCTTTCTCAAAGCCATTTCAGTCTTCAGCCCCAGTGCTGAAAGCACCAAAGAAACCAGACACCATTACAATGCTGATCTTGCAATTAAACGGATGGAGACCACAATTCATTTCACACAAGCTACCACCACTTGACACCAGCTGGTAACAACTTCTGGTCTCCACTGCCCCAGGATGCACTGGAACTAGTGGCCTAGAGGTGAAAGGCTCCTCAGACCATTATTAATCCCTTAACACAAGCCAATCCATTTCACAAGATCCACCCTACTTGCCACTCTTGTCTGAGAAGTTTCTTTTGCAAACCTCAAATCCACCACGTGTATTAGACTGACTTGCTTTGTGTATGTGCAGTTGACAAGAGAGGTGGGGCTATCTTGTGATTTGAGCATGGGATTAGGGGTCAAGGAGCTAGATTTTTAAAGGTATTTAGGCACCTAACGATGCAGACAGATGCTAAATGCACCCAGGCACTTTTCTAAGTCCCATTAGATGCCTAGCTGCATTAGTAGACACCTTTCAAAATCTGGTCCCAGATACCTGGATCTATTCCCTGCTTTGCCAATGACTCACTCGGTGACCTTGGGCAAGCCACTTTGCCTCTCTAGACCTCAATTTCCTCCTCTGTAAACTGAGAATACAAAAGCTTTTGGATTCACGTGT